TTTACAATGTTGTGTCAAATTCCAGTGTAGAGCACAATTTTTCAGTTATACATGAACATACATATATTCATTGTCACATTTTATTTCACTGTGAGCTACCATAAGATCTTGTGTATATTTCCCTGTGCTATACAGTATAATCTTGTTTATCTAGTCTACATTTTGAAATCCCATTCTGTCCCTTCCCACCCCCTGCCCCCTTGCTTTCTATATCCAGGAAATGAATACACAGAGCCTTGTCAGACAATGTCTTCCCCTTCCATGGACTGAAGGTCAGCCCACCTAGTCACTGTAGCACAGAAACACTAGATTAGGAGCTCCTTGAGGGCAGGAACTTTGTTGATTCAAGTTTGCATCTCTGTTCTTACGCACCCTGTGATTGTGGGGTTTTGCAGGATGTCATCTCTATTGCTCGGATCAAGGTCCTGCTAGGTCACACATCTGTGCTACCAGGACTTAAGGCAAAACTGCAAAACAGGACTTCTGTTTGTGGTGTATTCTGTTGTCCTTCCACCTCCCATCTTTGTCTCTCCATTCTCTCTCTCTGGTACTCTACACTCTCATGTTATTTTCCCCAGATCAAGCCCTCCCAAAATCACAGTAACCTCCAGAGACTAGCCAGTACCCAAGTGTCCTGTGTTCTTACTGGACTTGCCCTCTGCTCTAACTATTCTAAACCACCTTCCTCAACATCGTTATTTCTAGGATACTGATCTGAGATAGAGCATTTGTTTAAAGTGACTAGTAACAAGATGTGATAACAGGTAGGTTTAGCCCAAATTAATCACTGCTTAGTGGAATGTGTGAAACAGATTGTCTTAAACTCCATAGTGATGCTTCTGGAAGAGGTATTAAGCATTCCACTAGAAAATTTGCTGATCCCTCCTCTGCTTTTTCACTCCTTCCTGACTCATGGGATTTATCATGAGAACTGATGCAGTTTTGGGGAAGTACTTTCCTGTCCTCCCACGAGGCCTAGTGCCAGGAAGTAATTTCTAGGTATTGTTTGGTAAAGTTCATCAACTTACTTTGAAGCCGGCCTATGAAACTAATCCAGGAAGTCAATAGAGGGTTTTGTGTTGCTCTTAAAAATCTCAAAATTGTAGGATAGATAAACAAGATTACACTGTATAGCACAGGGAAATATACACAAAATGTTATGATAAATCACAGAGAAAAAAATGTGACAATGAGTGCGTATATGTCCATGAATGACTGAAAAATTGTGCTGAACAATGGAATTTGACACAACATTGTAAAATGATTATAAATCAATAAAAAATGTTAAAAAAAATCTCAAAGGGAAGAGATCTTCACAACTTCCTTTGTATGTCAATGTATCATAAACTTTGTGACCATTAAGGATCTCTAATATAACTTAAGAACAATTTAAAAACACATATACAAATATTCATGTATTTTAAATAACTGTTAATGTGACCTATTAAACTATCAGTAGATTCCTATTGTGTGTCCTAGAAGTAGAAAACTTTTGAAACGTGCCCCGTAATCTGTATAATAAACTCATGATCAATTTTGAATTCCATCTGTGAGAAAGTAGGCAAGATTTAATGATTAATTAAATCATTAAGAATTGAATCCTGGCAGGGGACAGTATTTTGTGTACATCATATAAAGTTTGCTTGTATTGTAGCACCACCTAGTGTTAATAGAGGAACCTGTTCTCTACAGCTTTCTTGCCTTGCTAGTTACAGAAACAGATCCCTAAAGCATGCTCTTGGTCAAAGAAATGCTGCTCAAAGATGTTTCTGAGTTATGAAATACAGGCTGCATTATATGTTTCTGAAATGAAGGATTATAATTTAAGTTGCCTGATGATCAGAATGGACATATTTATTGACATGCATATATGACATTTTATCTCTTTTAAGCCTAATGTCTGTCTTTTTAATGTCCTAAAAAAATAGCCCGTGGATGTTGGGAAATTACTGATTTTCTTTAACTTCAGTTGCCCTTTCAATGAACAGATTTTTAAATGGTGACACATCAATTCCTGTAAATGTATTGATGCCACATTAAGTCTAGGTTAGTACTTATGCACTGCCACCCCCAACAGAGAATCTTCGCTGCTAATAAAGCTGCAAAACCATCAGCAGGAGTACTGACATTTACAGCTTTGCTACCCAAAATATGGTCCATGGACTGGAAGCTTGGGCAACACCTGGGAACCTGCTAGGCGTGCAGAATCTCTCCTGCTGCCCCAGACCTACTGAATAAGAGCCTGCAGCTTGACAGGATACCCAGGTGACCCACATGCCCTTTAAAATATGAGAAGCACTGTTGTAGAGACGTAACTCCTGCTTCTGCCTGCCCCCTGCCCTGCAAAGAGTGGCTGTCAGTCAAATAAAGACTAAGGACTTTCATTATAACTTTGGATTTACAATATTTTATTTTTGGATAAAGTTACATGATTTTCTTATCTGACTCATGGCTTATTCCATATAAATTGTATCATTGCTGTTGGGACTCGCATTAGGAACTAAACAAAGGCACAGTTCTTTCCTACTGAATCCATCCGCTTCATCTCTCCAGAAACATAATTAGGGAGCCATTTAAAACAGCTGAGAGGAAAATTGCCAACTTTGAAATTGTAGGGCATGCAAATGCTAACAAAATATTTAAGTTTGTTGGGGTAGAAAGACTCATAGTTTGAACAGACAGTAGGAGGTGAGGCTTAAATAATTCCTGACAATTGAGGTAGAAAGGAACACTTACAGATTGCATTATTGTTAAAGGTGGAAATTTTGAAGCTTGATTTTTCTTAAGCCTTAGTTTTTATCTTCTTTGTTTCTTTATTATGTATTTAGCAAGTTTAGTATAAAAATAATAAAACTTTTTTGATTAGTGTTCAGTTAGCTCATAAGTTTAACAAATTAATATCTTTCACAAATTTAGTTAAAAGTTCCTAAAACATTTTAACCTATCTAATAATCTCAAATACCTTAGATGAATAATAACATCAACTTAGCTTAACTAAGCCAATCTATGTGCTTAGACAAATTAGAAAATATAATAAACCAAATAATAAGCTAGATTCTTTTATATTAAAATTTAATCAAATTCTTTTAAAAATTGAAATGTTTACAATGTTTCAGTTGTACAGCATATGTACAGTTATATATAAATATTTTTAATTTTATTAAAATCACAGCTAGTATCTATTAAACATTTCAAATCAAGACTTTAAGACAATATTATATTACAGATTCTTTAAAACATTCAACAATTTTAAATAATAAATAGAGATTATCTCCATAATTATAAAACTTAGTACTACATTTAGCACAAGGTAGCATGGCTTATGTTATCATCTCTATACTTATTTCTACATTTTCCTAGTGTTTCATGGTCACACAAATGAAGGAAGCGGAAGTTATTTGATCCATGACCAGTTCTTTAATTCAGTTACGAACAGGTAAAGTAACACACTGTGGTTCAGAATTCAAATCCTAGGTGCTACTTTGGAAACCATAGATTACCATGCTGAACTTCCTTACACATAATTTAAATCTTCCCTGCCAGTGGGGCAGTCCAAGTCCATGACTATCAGCTAGGACTTAGTTTCATAACCCAGTGCATCACTTGTACCCAAAGTGTATTCCACCTTTATTCAATTTTTATTGTAAACTTTTTCAACATTCTCTCACCCAACTGGAATAGATGGAATTCCATACCCCCTACCAGGGCTGCAGCTAATGTCTTCATTGCACAGAATTAGTTGAAACCTGCACCCCTATCCAGGGTATAAACTGCCTTTATAGTTCTTATCTGTCTCATCTGCCTCCATTTTACAGTCATTCTGTTGATGTCCCCTGACTGGAGTTTGGCTAAGAATGAAACACTGGACATTTTGTTGCTGGACTCCACTGAGTAAGCACATGTGTCGTGCATTTTGGGTTGGGACTTTTGTGCTGGCAAAATTATTGTGTATAAACCAAGTAAAAATAGTCCTTATGAGATTCCTTTCACACTTTAAAATATAGAAACCTGGTGAATTGTTCCTTAAAAGAAACTAGAGGTTTGAGAACATACTTGTCCTGGTAGCTTGGGTTCATAGGAAGCAGATTCTGAGGCTCCGAGATTTGCTGCTTGAGGCTTATTGGAATGAATCATTGGGAAATACCTGAGAGAGGTAAGGGACTCAACTCAAGCAGGGGGAGGAGTTGAACCACAGTGCAGCTGCCAGAGAGGCCTTAGTCATTCCTATGGGGAACTCCACAGAGTTGTGCCCCCACTCCTTCCCTGCCAGGCTTTGTACCTCCTCTCACTGAGCAGACATTGGATGTGGAAAGCTCCCAGGGAAGGGTGTGACCTTGGGTGAGGCATCTGAGGGCAATTCCCAGAGAGGATCTCAGCTGAGATCAATAAGCAGCCAACACTCGTGGCAGCTGGGGGAATAAGTGCCTCAGTCAGAAGTGGTGGGGGAGTATAAATGCTTCCCCCAGTATTCACTGAAGTGTATTCTCTATTATTATTGTTATTGTTATTATTACTATTATTGTTATTATTATTTTTATATTGAAGGGCTTGGCCTAGAGAAGATCATGGTCTTTAGCCACGGGACTTAATTCTAGGAGAGGCAATGTGACAGCAGATGGATCCCTATAATGCAAATGAAAATGCCTCTCTTTGCTGAGAGGCATTGTGGAGAACGCATGAAAACATGGCCGTGATGTTGGCAGGGAGATGGTAACGAAGTTCTCTGAACCAACTGTCTCCTGCAGCTGTGAAAAGACACACAGTCTGGCTGCCAACTGTTAGGCTCATTGTGCTTTGGCTGAATGTAGCTCCTTCTTGTCAACTTGCAATTCTGTGTCGAAGAAAATTGGTCTGGTCTGCCATCATCTCCATCTCTTAGCAACTGAGAGAGATTGAAACAACAGCTGGGTAATTTGATATTGGGCACTTAAGGTCGCGAAATGGAATATAATGGCTGTTTGTATTAAAGGGGAAAAAAGAGAAAATGATGTAACTCTAATGCTTAGAAATGTTTGGAATTCTACATGGGTTACAAAGAGTGAAAATCTAGTTTAAACTGGTTGGGCTATTCTTCTGTCAGAGTGACTAAAGTTGAGTCCAGAAACACTCCCAAACACCTATATTTGCCTGAATATCAATTTCTGTGGAACGTTGGAACTGCAATGTGAAAAATATTTTCTATGTTCTGCATTTATTTTCTCAAGATTGACCTACTGCTTTCTTACCATAAATTTTGAAACAGTAATTCCAATATAACATAGATGACAGCTTAGAATTATATTTTATTTTGCTTTTGGTAGGCAATGGGATGGGGACCAGAGCTGAAGACGGGAGATAATGAGGGATGGTCCTCAGAGGCAGTGATGGGCTGGAAGCCTGCTTTGTAGGCTGTTCACACTATCTCCAAGGTGTATGCACAACAGGTAATAATGGAATTGTGAGTTTGGAAACTAGAAAATGAAAAGCCAAGTGAAATTGTTGATAGCAAGTTGTTTCCTTCTTCCCTGGGGCCAGTAAAGAGGCCATCTGGTTTTCAAATTAGAAAAGCCAGAAAATACAGTGTTTGCTCTCAGAATGAGTCAAATGTCATATGCTAATAAAATTCGAAAGCAGAAAGAGAGAAAGCAAGAGAGAGGGAGGAGGGGAGAAGAGCATGGAGGGAAGAGCATGGAGGAGGGAAGAAATGCCTAGTTAGTGGGGCACACTGCTTGCTGCTTACATTCCTGTAGGTTTATAATTCAAGCGTTTTGTAACTGTTCAGTAAACCTGCCTGGACAAAGTTCATTTGAAGGGGTGTGTATTCTAGGCGAGAGGACTGAAAATCTAGACCTTTACATGGTGGGTAACTGCCCAGTCTTGTTTCTCAGACTAACTTGTTCATCCACTGCAGATGCAGCCTTCATCCCTGCACAGTAGGCAAAAAGCCATTGTTTTCTTTGCTTGGTTGGTGGTTTACTTCCTTGTCACCTTCTCACACAGTTGGGCCACGGGCTTACCGCTGCTCTCACCATGAGCAGCCTTGTATTTTTCCATCAATACCTAGAGAATTTAATTCCTTCCACATATAGTGATTCCAGTTCCTGAACAACTGTTTGGTTTTGTGACATGACAGCTTTGTGAAGAGGTGAAGTGAAAATTCACTGAGAAATAGATCTCTTCTTATCCGTCCACTTGCTTATCTCTGGGTTCTCCAAGACCACATCATTCCAATTTACAACAAATGAAGCAGAACCATGTGAAATTGCTTTTTCTGTAGGTCAGAGGCAGTTAAATATAGGTAATTTCACATGGTTCAACTTCTACATATACAAGCAAATTCTCTGATTAAAGAAACAAAAAAATGGAGTGACTATAAATATCGTCCTTAGAATTCTCTGGGGAGGGATGAAATATTTCAAGGTAAACAAACTGAAAGACAAACTTATTTGTAACCAAACTAAATTCCAGGTAGGGCTGGCTTATAGTTCACAGACATCGTGCAGAAAACTAGTGCTTCTCCCTAAGGGAGATGAGGATTGAAGTTCTCTATGTGGGATGTATTTCCAGTTCACTTGGTCTTGCATTTAGCTTAAAAATTCCCTTTTGTACTTGCACTTTACTCATTTTCCAAAATTTGTCCTGATTCCAAATCTGTGACATCTCTATAATGTTGTTTATATGCTCTTTGATTTGGAAGATAGGAAGTATATTGATTTTTTTTAGATGAAAATTCTAACTTTCCATTCATTTGGGAAAGAAATGTGCATTTTTCACTTCCACAGCTCTAGAACATTTGTTCTCAATTTTATATTTTTATTTGAGACACAGGAAGTGTATTTTGTTTAAATCTTCCGTTTAGAAATGAACCCAGAGTTAAGCCTGATAAACATTATACAAAGGAATAGAAATCTCAGTATACTACTCCTTTATATTCACTTGTAATGGTTTACTTTGCTTTTAATGCCAGGCACTCTGCATATACTGTCACACTTAAACCTCATCCTCTGACATGGGTCTTTGTCTTAACAAATGAGGGAATTGAGGCACAAAAGTTAAGTTTCTCTCTCAAAGAATCAAAGTTGTTTGTAGCAATGCTAAGATTGATTTTCAGGCTATCTCCATATCTGCTCTTTTAATTTACAGTATCATCCTGTCGTCACACTGACTGCACCTGATTCAGACACCCCTCACCTCCTGCAATTTATCATCTTTAATGAATATTTTTGTTGTTGATCAAGCAGCATCTTGATGAATTTTCTGAGTGGAAATTCAAGCAAAACCAGTTTCTGTTTGCAGGAAGAGCATACAATCAACTCGCTCACTTGAATCCTTACATCTTAATCTATGAGTTGAGTCTGCAGCAAGACATCATTTTTAGCTCTTTTAACTACCCATAAAAATGTTTTAAGTCCACTTTTAACTACACAATATTATAATTATTATCTATTTTGTGCCTTTAAGTTTTGTTCTTTCTAGGCTGAAACATTCAGTATACTGTTCTTAAACATATTTATATGCTATATTTTCTGGAAATTATATGATATTTATCAATTCAGCAACTGCTTATTGAGAGCCTACCATATGTCAGACATTCTTCTTGGCACAGCAGTGAACATAACTGACAAAAATTCTGAGCTCAAGCACTTAACATTCTTGTGGTGATTAGTTTTTAAAAGAATTATTAACAGAAGGCCAGGAAAGGAGGGTGGCTCTATAGAAGCAACTCCTTAGGTAGGATTGAGAGGCCTGGGGAAAAACGCATGATGCCTCCTTACTCAGGAGCCCCCCAAAGCCCACCTAGACTCTAACTCTACCCACACAAGGGCAAAGAACAAAATGGGGGCTAGAAGAGGTTTAGTTAGGCTTCCCTGTGTAAATTACCTCAAAGATGCATTGTATAAAGATACTTGCATAGCAGTCTAAGTCTCCTACTGGAGTTTAACCTTACATACTTAGAACTTTATCTAGACATGTTTTAATTGTGCAGATGAAGATGAATACCCTTAGATCTTGGGCCCCAAGTTGAGGATCTTTCTGAATCACAGAGTTAAAAACAATAGAGGAAAAAATTCTCTAAGTAGAAGCAACTGAAGAAGGAAGTTGAGGGTGGGTTCACAGTTCTCCCAAGGAGTGGCTGAGACTGGCTGGTGGAAGCTCAGCTCTACGGCAGCTTAGCTTCCATATGTGTGAGTGTCTATCCTGACAAACTAATTTAGTGCCACAATTCCAAAACAATTGTGTATCACAGACTCACAGAAATGCCTTGTGGCATGTTTACTACTTTGGTCCCCAAACTCAATTTAGCCAGATCTTTTCAGTAACGAAGGATTTTTATTTATAGAGATCTTGCTACATATGAGAGGCAATTTAGAGTGGTGGTTAAGGGAGTTGATTCTTAGAGCCCAACTGTCTGGGTTCAAATTCCAGCCCCACCTCTTCCACATTTTCCTTTTCTGTAAAGTGATGGTCATAATAATAGCATCTACCTCATAGGATTGTAATGAGCATAAATTAAATAGTATTTGTGAAATGCTTAGAATGATGCCTGGCCATAATGAGCACCATGCAGATGTAGCTAGTATAAGGAGAGTCTTAGATTTTTCAGTCAATAGACATTGCCTGGCTGGGGTTTAGCATCCATGGTGAATCTTTCACATGGCTTGACATGACAGATCTAGTGTCAGAAGTAAACACTACAACTCAGAGCAAAGGCATGTACTGAGCATTGCTGTGTATGGCGTTTTGAGTTTTCATATTTAATGATTAAGAGCCAACATCAGTGAATGTTGTTGCCAAGAAGCATCACACACACACACACACACGCACACACACACATGCATGCACATGTGCCTGCAAGCCAGATCCCTGTGTGATTGCCATTAAATGTGTCAAGAAATCACACTCAGATCTATGAAACGAAGGGATAGATATCAGGCAGATGAAGGTCCTTCTGCTAAACAGATGACTGAATGGTTAAGTAAGAGAATTGTGAGGAGGAAAATTGCAGGCTCCAACTGGAGTCAAGATGTGAAGCAGCAGCAGCTAAGCTAATAGAACAATTAAAGATGAACTGAATGTCCTCAGAAGGAAAGCCAAGTGAGGTAGAAGACACATCAGAGGAGACCTCTGCCATCAGAAAACACAAAAATGTAATTTGATGCCAGAAAGAATCAGCATGTGGAAAACTACATTTAGCCTGATGTATGTGTCTGCTCAAGGTGCAGGTCAGAGAAAGAAAGTGAATCTCAGGGTTTTATGGAGAGCTCCCAGACCACATAAACTACCTTGTGATGACTTCATGTGAAGAAAGATGATTCTGGCTCTTTGAGATGAGAGATGGCCACACGAGTGGAGGGAGAGGGAATAGCTGGATTAAGACAGGGAATGAAAGAGCAACATGAACAAGCCTCCTTGGTGTAGTGGAACTTCCCATTCACCGTGAGAATCCCTAATTTCTCCTATGTTGTGCTTTTTGGTTCAGAATAAAATTAATATCCAGGAGGAAGGAGGAGTCTCAAGTTGGAGGGTGTTGAGGAAAATATATTGAGAGGAGAGGAGGAGATGGAGCTGCCCACTCCTATTTCCATGAGAATTTGACAATGTTAAAGGACCCCCAGGGACATGGGGGAAAATGCTTCCTGAGAAAGAATTCTATCAGGTTTAGACTTAGGAACATGTGGCTTATATCAAACACCCATTTTCTACTTTGATTTTTAGTATTGCATACAATTGACTTTAAAAATCACTTCTGTTATTTCCCCCTGATTATATGAATAATGCATATTCTTATAAAAATGAGGAGAAAATAAAAATCATCTATGGCTCACTAGAGAGACCCACTATTATTTTTGATGTACTTTTTCCAGTTTTTATTTATACATATACAAAAATCTGGCTCAGATGCCATCACAATTTTATACATTGTTTCTTTAACTTAATGTTAAATCCTGAATATTTTTCTGTATCATATAGATTGGCCCATACGTTCGTTTTCTCACCACTCTTGTGCTCAGAGGTTTGTAGCATTCTTTACCTTCTTTATGCTGGCACTGTGAGGGTTTAGGCCTTTTGAGGCCAATTTGGGATTTGTAGGGTGCTGTGAGCTGTGGGAGGAAAAAAAAATCTTTCTGTAAATGTAAGAGAATTGGACCTTGGAGGTGGGGGTTGTGTCTCTTAATAGTTTTTCTTTGAAGAGCACATTGGGAAATGTGTATTTCCCAATTCAAACAAATGATAGGCAGCTGTTTGGTTGTGAGAAAAATATTGGCTACTGTGTCAGATATTTAAAAGAAAGAAGCAATTGATCATAGCTCAAACTAAGACAACATTGGTATCATCTTTAAGAGGAAAAAATTCACAATTGACCTGAATAGTAAATTCTCCTATATAGGCCCTTGCATTACTGAAATCTGTGTTAAGCCCTGAAGTCTTATGATTGAAATAATAGCACAATATGCAGAGTCCAAAGGGCTTTCTTCTTAAACATTTGTACCCTATTCATAGTCAAGGTGCCCATTCATAGTCTGTCATGCTTTCTTGATGTTGGATTTCTTTCCATGATCTGTAGATATTTGTGTAAAGTGACTCATAGAGCCATTACGAAGAAAGGAAGAAATGGCTTTGTTATTTAGTATAAACCAGTGTGGAGCCCAAATATTTTTAAAAATCTATTTTCATTTACCGTTTGTTTGAATTTAGCTGTCACTGTGGTAGGCATGGTGTGATAAAGCAATGCAAGACATGCTCTCAGGAGTCAGAGTTCAATACATTTTTACTCAGTCAGCCTGGGTCTGAGTCTCCTTATTCCCCCTCTGCCCCCACCCCCATCTCCCCCAGCCTGGAGATCCTAGTGACCCAGGAAGCTATCTGGTTGGTTTCCTTATTGTATCATCACAGAGGATTCATCCACATTTATAGGTTCATATATGGTAAAGATACTTTAAAAATATGAAATATTTTTTGATATACTAGATTGTTGTAAAAAATAAAACAACAAATAAATAGAAATCTCTCATATTTTTGAGATAACCTCTGTTGACGACTTGGTATTTCTTTTTCTAGACTGTTAGTCCATATTTATAGTCATACTTACATAATTAAAAAACATATTGGTAACTTATTTAACCAACTCTTACTTCACAGAATATTTTAGGATCTCTTTCTGTGTCAATATAATAAATAAGATGTTTTACTTGTTCTATTTTGTTTGTTGATCAGTTTGTGATTAGAGAAGGCGTACAGAGATACAAAATGGTAAACACTGATCCTGTCTCCTACACTTATTCTCCAGCCTCACAGTTTTCCTCTCCAGACTCACAGTTTCCTCTCCAGAGGCAATCATTGCTCTCAA